CCCCCGATGTGTTAAGTGTTTGGGCGATCACGCCACGGCCCTATGCACTCGCGACCAAAAAACCGCGACGGAACCGCCTAGCTGCGTCCTGTGTCGAACACAGGGTCACCCCGCAAATTACCGCGGATGCCCCCGAGCCCCGAAAATAAATCGCCGCGTCGCCCGCCAAAACCGCCTCCGAGCTTCCGGCCCAGACATCAAAGCCTCGGCACCCTCTGTGTCGCAGGCTAACAGCCAGCATTCGTTCCGGCCGGCCGGTGCCAGTGGCTCGTGGCCCTCGCGGCGAACAACGCCGCTCCGTACACGAACACGGCTACAACTCCCTCCTCCGCGATTCGTCCCGCCCCCGCGATACGCCCCTCCCCCGCGAATTGCCCTCCGACAGCGTCCGACAATCTTGCTCTAGCGATCGACTTCTTTCAATCGATTAACTTTGAGCGCGTTAACGCTTTAGGTGACGCCATCCGCGCCGCCTCCACTGCACAGCACTTCATCGCCGTTGTGCAAGAATACCGCGCGTGACAGTTACGGGAAGAATGCCCGTACAGTTGACAGTTATGGCACTGGCTAGGAGTGCCTTTTTTATGGGGGGCTTCGACGGCGATACCGGAGAGCCTACAGACGGTCCGTATGTTAAAAATTTGCTTACCCTCGGGGGTAGGCTGGAGGGCGACTAGAACCATATTATATGGCTCCCTACCGCGGCCGGTGTGCATGCGGTGCACTGAATTTACTGGTAGGCCTTGTTCCAGAAGGTCGGCCTTGACGAGTTCGGCATCCAACTCTTTAGGGATGCCACGTATGACGACACGAAGTTCGCGCTCCTCCTGGAGCGTATACGTATGGAAACTTATACGCTCCTTACGGAGGTAAGAAGAGAGGGCCCTATGGTCATCGGGTGTTTGAACCTTAATTTGAATGCCGTTCGCGAGGTTACGGGCATTCGTGAAATTAATATTTTTGGCCTTAAGGGCCAGGGAAACTCGTTCCCAGGCTGCCTTCTCTTGAAGGATTACCGGGGGAGAGGTTTGGATTTTCTTTTGTACTACCGGACGCGGCGACGGTGTAGCACGGGCAGGGGGAGCAACGGGGGTCGGTGGACGGAGGCGCGACGCGTTCGCGGCTCTGCTTACTTTGGCGGCCGCGGGAGCTCGGGCTTCCGCAGCGCGCCTCTTACCTTTTTGGACTACTGTGAATCCATCAGTCGAGGGGGCGGGGGAAGGATCGACCTCCATGTCCGACTCCGAGTCGGATGAAGAGGAGGGCGCGGGCGACCCGCAGGCGGGCGTTTTAGAGGGGGCGGGGTTGACGGTCGCGACGGAGGCCACGGACAATCGCTCGGGGGCAGAGGACGGCGCGGGCGCGACGGAGGCCGCGGAAGAACGCGTGGACGCGACGTGTGCTGCGGATGAGTGCAGGGCTGGAACCGAGACCGCAGCGATCGACGCGGAAGCTTTGCTCGCGAGTATTGGAGACACGGGAGCGGCGGGCGCGATGGAGACCGCTTCTGAGTTCGCGGCGTGATTGGCCTTAAATTCTAAAAATTCGGCCGATAATGTCGGGTACCTCAGGTGGAGGAATTCCGCGAACAGATCGATCGTGGACTCCATTGTAACTATCACGTGCCCAGGGGGGGCTACCCCGGGACTTTAAACACACTCGCCTTACGGCGAGGCCCCAATCTTATAATAACCACGATTAATTACGGCACACAACCGTCCGCTTACAAACGGGCCACTAAGTTGCCGAACGAATTCCAGGAATTTAGGGGTCCGCCCGTTCACAAACGGCGGTGCGACGCAATTAGCACAGGTAGTAACTTCCGAGAAAACACTTGGACGCCAGATGTGCCACGAACCGAGGTCGGGCGATCGAACGAACAATGAGCACGTCAGCACGCGGCGAGTGCTTGGATCGGAATGAACTGACTGCGTGCCATCTCTATAACGCTTTTATAGTCGATACGACATCCCTAGAATCGTCGAGAGCATTCCTTATAAGTCGAGTACCTTCGATGTGTGTTTCCGCTATCTGACAATAGATGGCGTCGTACCTCTCAAACGTTCTAGATTCTACTAGATCTTTCGATATTCCTTCGACTATTCGGCGATAGATGGCGTTACTCAAGGTCAAGATTCAAGGTCAATTCAACATTTCTCGTTCTCATGAGAATCGGAAACATGTCCATTGCTACACTATGTGTCACCAGCAGCTCTATTTGTGGTAGTCCTACCGAACGTATGCAAACAAACTCCCTATTTTTTAGGCCTATTTATGATAAAATGCTTTTTAAAAAGTTTATTAATTACAAATATATAAAATGTTATAATAATGTGAACTATATAAAATAAAATTAGAAAATAATAAAACTGCAATTCACACTAACCAGCCATTTTTTATTATTATTATCTTCCTTTATCCTACACCTCTTCAGAGGTCAAAAAGGGTAGGTGCGAATAATCGCATTTAAGAGGATTAAAAGTGAATCTCTCGTTTAAAATTTCCAGGTACTTACATATATGTATTTTGCTTTACCACTATGCGTTTTTACATGCATATTCGGCCATTTAAAAAAAAAAAAAAACTTAATATTTCATTCATGTGTAATATTTTTTATTTATTAAAAAAAATCTAACAGATTGTTACGCCGGTAAGAGTAACGCCATCGAGAACGCTAGAGAAGCGTATCGCCATCTATTATCAAATAGCGGAAACACAAATCGAAACGAATGGTCTTGCCGGGAATGCTCTCGATAATTGTAGAGAAGTCGCATCGACTATAAAAGCGTCGCAGAGATGAAGGCGGATAGTAATCGGATCTATTCGAAGCGAAACAGCGAACGGATCAGCTGAAGCGAAGTGGAAGAAGTGAATTGAGAATTTTAAAGTGCTCCTTAAGTGTTTTAAGTGTTTAATAGAGTTTTAATCTGTACTTCCGTCAAAGTTTTATTTATCCCGAAACCCAGCGCGTAACAATATATACATCAAAGTAATATTAATACTACGATCGATATAACAGTTTCATATATTAGATTCCTACGCTCAATTACTTCGGAACTCGATAAAACACTCAAAAGATATGTAGAGAGAAAAATAGTTATATTCTATTGAAGACAGAACAAAGACTTCTTTCGATTCAATTTATGCAATAATGACACTTTTCTCTTCCTAGAACTTTCGAAGCGTGCTTAGTGTTCTTACAAATTTATTGTACTATGTAATATTGATACAGTTTATTTTTCTTTATTAAAGATCTTTTTGAAGAATCATTTGTTTTGTTATTTTCTAGATGAAACAATTTTAATGTGAAACTCGAAATGTTTGAATGATTCTGCTTAAATTATAAAATACGATAAATTGAAATCGGACGGCACCGCGATTATCACTGTATTTATAGAAATAGTAACAATGACTCGCTGTCGCTGCATGAATACCGTTTAAGCCTCTTTACAGCCTCTTACTTCCTCATACATACATAAGTACATAGATACATACATACTTTTTTTTGGCTTAGATGGATGGACGAGCTCACAGCCCACCTGATGTTAAGTGATTACTGGAGCCCATAGACATCTACAACGTAAATGCGCCACCCACCTTGAGATATAAGTTTTAAGGTCTTAGTATAGTTATAACGGCTGCCCCACCCTTCAAACCGAAACTCATTACTGCTTTACGGCCGAAATAGGCAGGGCGGTGGTACCTACCCATGCGGATTCGTAAGAGGTCCTACCACCAGTAATTACGCAAATTTGCTGGTTTGATATTTATTACACGATGTTATTCCTTCATCGTGAAAGTCAATCGTGAACATTTGTTAAGTCTTGTACGTATTTCATTAGAAAACTGGTACCCGCCTGCGGGATTCGAACACCGTTGCATCGCTCAACACGAATGCACCGGACGTGTCATCCTTTAGGCCACGACGACTTCAAAATTAGTAACACATAAATATGATACATATAAATTGAAGCTTTGGGTCTACTTTGCTTTTAGATCGATCGAGTTTGCTCAGTGACTAGACAATGAGGCTTGTGGAGAGTACTTAACGGTAGGCAGCGGCTTGGCTCTACCCCTGATATTGCTGAAGTCCATGGGCGACGGTAACCACTCGCCATCAGGTGATCTATATGCTGGTCTGCCTACACGGGCAATAAAAATAAAAAAAATGACAATAGTTACGTAAATAAGGCGGATTTTTTCGTGAAGAATTTCTATTAGACACGATTACGTCGCTGCAATACAATAATGCAACTATACTCACATTCGTAGCTAAGGTGGAGGCGAACTCCATTTTAAAATGCTTCAGTGCTCCAGTTCATCTCGACTCGGGTTTTAGTGTCGATTGTCAGCTTACAACGCCATGCGATCTGTAGTAACGCCATTGCCCTTCTCTCACATATCTGAGGCAAAAGAAAAGTAAAATCATGTAAATCTTATATAAATAATTGTAAATAGACATGCTTTAACAAAAACCGACTTCAAATAAAAAAAAAAAAAGATATTCCAAAACAAATTAATATACACTAAAAACAATAATCATCGAAATCGGTTGGCGTGATATTGAATTATTGAGTTATTCATCTATTTGTCGCGCACGTATTTAATACAAATTTATGACTTATATGGTTTTCTCATGGATACCATTATCAGAATTGGACTAAATTGGGAACACACGGGAAGTGTCAAGTTTCTAATAAAAAAATAATCATCAAAATCGATTCACCCAGTCAAAAGTTATGAGGTAACAAACATAAAAAAAATACAGTCGAATTGAGAACCTCCCCTTTTTTGCAGTCGGTTAAAAATACGACCAGTTGCTTTAAAATGTTTCTGCTAGGAACCCATCATAGAACGGCACGAATAAAACCTACTCCTCATATATCATAAGAGTTAAGGCCTGTATCCATAGGCGGTTATGAATTCCCCCGGGTCTATACTTTATGATTTTATGAGCGCTCTAGACTGTTTTACGCCGCTCGTCTTTAGAATACGCTTATATTTGTGTACATAAATAAAATCGGTAATATTTTTTACTTCTTAGGTCGCAAGGTGAGTTACCATGTAACACCGTATAGTTAATTTACATAATTTTAATGCGACACATGAATTGATTTAAGTGATTCTAGCGCGTGCCCTCTCCATCGGAACAACTTTTGTGCGAATTTATTTAAATAGGCATGCATACGCTAGTAGCCACTCCCATTAACGGTGCTTTTAGGCACCACAAGCACCGGTCACCGTCCTCGTCGAACCCGTCGCTTGCGACGAAGGGCTCGACGAGCGAACTAACCCATAGACACAGCCCACTGAGTTTCTCGCCGGATCTTCTCAGTGGGTCGCGTTTCCGATCCGGTGGTAGCTTCTGCAAAGCACTGCTCTTGCTAGGGTCTGTGTTAGCAACTCTCCGGTTGAGCCCCGCGAGCTCACCTACAAACGTTAGGGTGAAGCTGAAATAGCCTCTCAAGGTTATCAGCATAGGGAGGAAAAAAAAAAAGTAGCTACTCATTCAGAAGCCGCGCCAAATAGTGGAAAGTAAGCTACGCTCATAGTTAACTGTTTACGAATATAAAATTCAAGTTAATTATAAGTGCCCGATTTATGATATCGGGTTCCAATAGTCCGTCAATCGAGATTTTTGTATTTCCCGGAATCACAATATGTTTCTAATGCTTTCTGACTGACATAAGGTAATGGAGTATCGTCACTAGACCCCAGGATCCTAGACTTCTGAATCACCGTAATTTAACAAAAGATACGTATAACTTTTTACTGTAATATTTTTCGCCGCAGAACATTCGTACTGTTTACCCTCATCTAATTTTGTAATAAGCCTTGCTTAACAAACTAGTTTAAGTAGCTTAAATTTTCTTCTTATATATTAATTTCCTTTTATTGTATTATTGTGTGCTTTAATTTAATATCTGTTTTTGTTGTGACTGCACTTCATTTTTTTTATTTTAAACGGCGCCCTGGGTATTTTTTTTTTGTAAGATCTCAAACTCTCCACTGTGGCTACCGGTTGGTGTAACGCTTATCGTTACAACCACTATCCTGCTTATTTCTTTTAAGCATTACAGTTTGACAGCCGTGAAACTTTGAGAGACTATGGATTGGTCTCTAATTTTTTTTTTTCCTACCTATGCTGATAGCCTTGAGAGGCTATTTCAGCTTCGCCCTAACGTTAGTAGGTGAGCTCGCGGGGCTCAACCGGAGAGTTGCTAACACTGACCCTAGTAAGAGCAGTGCTTCGCAGAATCTACCACCGGATCGTTGTCTCTCAAAACGGTTGGCGGCATTATAAGTTTCAGTAACCATCTACCGCCAGATGGATCGTGAAATTAAAAATCAAGTATACTAAAATATTACCTACATATAAGAAAAAAGTACTCAGACGCAAATACAAAGGAATTCTTATAACGGAACTACAAAGGCGAAGGCTCAAATCCATCTAATACCTTCGCACTCGAATTCGAAAGGCGAAAGTTTTGTACGTTAATAATCCATATGCGAGATGCCAGGTGTAGAAACCGCCGATAATTGAAAAAAAAAGTCGATTTGAAATCCCGTGTGTGAATTTGTGAGAAATAAAAAAGATTTGCCAAAGACTTTCTAACTATATTGTGTGATACATCTTTACAGTTTTTGCCAATACTAAGGAGAGTTGTGAGCCTGCACCAAATAGAACTTACCTAATCTGCCGCAAAGCAAATCATGTGTTCCAGTTTAAAGATTGGGTCAGTCGTTAAACAATAAAATTCATAATGTGACGTAAACCCTAAAAATTGGTGGCGACATTGATATCGTCAAATGTATTGGTGACTTGTAACCGCTTGGATGGACGGGAATTCATTCAAACGTTTAAGCAATAAAAAACAATTTTGTTTCATCAACAATAGAACGTGCAGTTTCAATAAATGAAGTTGTAATGAGTCCAAAATATTGTGAGCTATTCACACCATTATTATTTAATCCTTAATTCCAAGCCAGGTGTGTTAGACAAGTTAATGACGAGAAAACCGCCCTAAAATGCTTCCCGACGATTACCCCATTATTAACCGTACTTATAGGTCACCAGTAGACTCATAAACATTTATGTACTAAATCCTTATAACACACGAGAAGTCGTGAATACAAAGAATCTGTAAATACCTTTCGCTTTGGAACTATGATTTCTTTGCCGCCGAAAACAATTGCTATTAAGTTCGTTGATGGCAACACATTCTTAGTTTGAATGGCATATTTTAAATCCCCCATCCTTACTTCTAAGATTTACCAAATGATGACGCATGTCGTCAGCATATAGAGGAAGGACCGTTATAGGAAACATCAAAGGCTTTTATCTTTGTGAGACCAAACGCAAGTAGCAGTATCTTCAACGGAGATTTAAATAAAGGGCTTGCTACTGTTTAGCATTGATTTAATTACGTCAGACGACCCGATCTATCCAATCATTTCGAACTCACCTTTGCTAAGAATTCTCATCATGAGTGCTGATTTCTATGGATACTGAATACAGCAATACATCAGTTCACTTTTTGCCCCCAACTACGTAAAGCTGTAACTTAGGTTGGATCGATACGAATGGTTTGCTAAATTCTCTCCGCAGGCATCGTAGTCGTGCAAGGTAAATGAGAATTCAATCTCATTTGCAATTGATTCAAGCCATGTCTCAATTGGGTAAACATCGATTTGAACTCCTCTATTCGTCGATATAGCCACGTTTCTTTTTGAAGATATGACAACTGCTAATACAATACGCGCAATAATACATTTCAGACTTAGACCTCCAGTCTCAAGGTAGGTGGTGGTTATTACTAATAACAACACAACAAAATTAGACACAAAATACGTTAGAAAACCTAGGATTTCCCCACAACTTACGTATACCGATGAATCCAATTATAATTAGATACAGTTACTCCCCAGGACATTTAAAATCGATAAGTGACATCACTGTTTCCGAATTGTTAATTTTATGTCCTAAACTCTTTTACTGTAATATAGATAAGTATAAGCTTAGAAATAAATCTGGGTGTCTCTATGTAAGGGCTTTAAAGGAAATGGCTGGAGTGCTGTCAAATGACCAATGCTAATGGTGACTATTCACTTTGTATACTCATAGTGAGATCTTTGTTGATAGTTTATGAAATTTATTTGTTAATTTTATTGATAACATTTTATTTATATAGAGACAGATTACTAAAATCAAATATACTTTTCATTTCTTTTTCTCCATAGTTTAATGCACGGTGCATAGTGGGCTCGCATAAGGTACTATCATCAACCTCCCTATTTTTTGAAGTAGCAATTTTTATATCATTTACAAACTCATTAATTCTATTGACAAATTTCAGGAAAACTCACAACTCGTTTTAAGATTAATTAATATAGTAAATAGTAAAGCTATGTATTAATCTATGTATCATAATATGTTCCACAAAGAGAGCTCTGAGAATTTATTCAAGATGATCCCATCCGTATAACGCTCTAAGAAAACTCAATAAGCTATTTCATGTATGTAGTCATCATGTTCTAGAATAAATCGATTCTATTAAATCGATTTGTCGCAGAAATACGAATCCCCACTGTGGTTCTATACTTCGCCAAACACGCTATAATAGCTCAAAGCCCATATTAACGTCACAAGTGTTTGGTCATACTCATCGCAAATTGCTTAGACTCTTCAAGTTTCTAAGGGGAATATCGGTTTTTTCTTCTGGTAATATGTAGGTACTCAATATAAAAATGTCCTGTATTGATTTGTGTTTTATGGGCTGTGTAATTTATAGGAAAGCAGGTCTTTAACTAGTTCATTTTTTAAATTCATTTTATTTCATACTGAAAGCTGTCTTTATTCAACCGTGGTTTTGAGAAAACAATGTCATAGACGGTGCATGCATAAGTCCATTGACATTTTCATATCAATCGGTCTATAGTGTATTTCTACTTCTGAGTTTTAGCTTAGGTTAACTATTTAACGTGTGATTTTATTTCTTGTTTTAGTTTTAGATGTTTCACTTAAATTACATTTGAGAGATTCGGCGTGAGACTGAAGACGCCTCCCGAGAATGTCATGATTAAACTGCACTAATGCACTAATATGCATCTTCTTGCACTAATAACTTTTTGACGCGACAACGTCTTGTAATTCGATGTAGCTGGCTGCACGCCCGAAAAAACATGACTCATGCGGCGTTACCTCGCTCTGAGGCGTTCCATTTAAGGCTCGAAGTGCAAGCGAGACCGCGCAACGAGCGACAAAGAGGCACAATCGGCCTCCGTGTTCGGCAGCGTTCGACATATGTCTCTCTCCTACTTGAGTAAGCATTGCATTAGCGTGGACAGCTGCTATACTATAATACATCGTCAAGTATGAAGTTCAGTGAAAAATGAATGTGGT